GGAAAAAATTCAGGAGATCATTTTTCAGGGATTTTTATTATAAAAAGAATCGCTGTAAATTTTTGAGAGGGTTGGATTTTTATTTTACTCAGTTTATTATTATACTTATTTTCACTTCAATTCGTAACGGTCACATTTAAAATTTAGAAAGACTATTTCCATGTTTGTTTTGCATCTTTAACTGTACCATTTCAATTTTACGAGATATTTCACGGTATTTTTTATAGCAAAGCTCCTTTGATATTTGTTTTACATTTTATATTTATATACATAGAACAAAAATGAAATCCAGCAGACGGTGTGTGGCGGTTAAATAACCAATCCAACACGCGATTGCAATGAATTAACGTATATACTTGAAGTACACACTTTCTCCGTGAGTAAATAATAATCGTATCAAGTACTGTCGACACTAGCTGACTTCCTGGGCAAACTAATTCCACAGGCGAAATCCCCTTAATTGACGAATTGACACTCGCGTCACGATAAATAACCTCCACCCGAAAATCTCGTTGAAGCTGTTGAAATGGTTCAAGTTGCCGAGTATATAGAGCAACTGGCACTGTTATTTTTGGCATCGAGCCAGCTAGCTCTGCACTTATCGATTATAATATCAAATTTTCTTGCCACAGTTTCATTTCCACAGTGTCCAAAACTCATATCATCGGGCTGAAAGCGATTTTCTTGTTACTCGCCGATGGCTATCGCCCCCACCGATAGGTGTTGCTGCATAATTGCACCAATTAATTGGCCAATTGACACTAATGACGGGCCACTGGAGGTTGAGATAGTGATTAGAGTTATCGCACGAGTGGAATCGTTTGAAATTAAATGATGATACCGGTTGTTGGAGTTCAGGCGGTGAAAGTTCATAATGAAAGAGAAAAATAAAGGTGAATTGGGGAAATTGAATGGGTAACGAGCAGCCGAAAAATGATCCACTTGAGGGGCAAAAGGGAGACAAGGCGTGGCCCTAAAAAAAAAAAGTATCTGGAGCCTATTCGGAAGGCTTGAAACGTAGCCAATTCGCACGACCCGGATACCTCCATTCTCGTTAAATAAGACGCCCTCTGCCTCGCAAGAGGAACAAGAGGATAAAATCGAGTGTTTCCAAGTAAACCCTTTCCCTCGACCCCTTTTTCTTTATTTCAACGGTTGTACACACTCTTCGCCACCCCCTTCGAGCCCCAGACAGATATTGCCCCGGAATTTTACCCTTCGACCAGAAAAACCCGGAGTCAACGCCTCCAGGACTCGACGATCGATTCCCGTCATCTTTGTTCTCCCTTTTTTTTTTTTCATTCTCCGATTCCCCCCGATTTCTTAAATAAACAATTCATATGTACAGCACTTTTTTTCCCCACTGTTTGCCGTCCCTGTGTACCCTTTTTTCACTCAGCAGATGAAATACTTTGGAAATTCAATTTGTATTCCTGGCTGTGCGAGTGAATTGATTTCATTTACATGTGACGCAATTTACTTCGTCACTTTACGATGTGATTTTACACACCGCCAGTGGAGGTACCTGGGAATTCGATAAAACTCGAGTGGTTGTTATATTTTTAATAAATTCGCCCTGCAATAATTTTTCCTCTTTTTTTGAATTATTTTTTCATGCCCATTCAAATGCTTCCCGCAAGCCAAAATTCATCCCAAATTTTAATATATTTTAGATTAAAAAAATAAAATTTAAAGAAAAGTTGACGTTCGATAGATAGTCCGTCTGGGCCTTAAATTGAAAATTGAGAATATTGATTTAATCAATAAAATGACCTGGAGAATTTTACCACCTCCTAGCCAGACAACTCCGCTCTCGAGTTTTCCCCGAAAAGTACGGAAAAAAAAATTCGCTGGAAAGCCCTTGCTGATAATTTTCTCCCCGCCTCGGACAAAGTTCAACTTATGTACACAAGTCGAGTGGCCCGAAAGGCGGTGGTTTTATTTACATGCTTGGGCTATGGTTTCGCATATAATCCTCCCCCTCGGGAAAGTTCCTGAGGGAGATTGAAGGAACGCGCCGAGTTGCTGAGGAACACAAAAAGAAATTCGCGAAAAAAAAAAGCGCCGAGACTGAACCGAGGGGTAAAAAAGTGAACGACAGTATCGGGGACACTTCATATTCAATTTTTCGTCGATGCTGTTATGTCCCAAGTCATATTGAATATCTGAAAACCCGAAGAATCGTAAACTTATCGCATAAAAATGAATAACGCAGTTGGTGAGTTAATATTGATGCCAGACGTATAAAAAAGTCGCAATTCGCGGTGGATAAGGGGATTTATGCGAATGGACGTGATGCATGGGGAAATGTGGATTGAGGTGCACATGGAACAAGTAATGGAATCAATTTTATTTTAGATTATTTGATTTTTCGTTTTTATTTCCGTGGCAACGACCTTAACGATTACGCCAGGCCACTGGGTTTCTCGGTGGAAATCAAAGATCGAAGGAATTCAAATAGAAAAAATTACATCATTATTGTCTCGGATGTCCAAACAGAAGGACAATTTTTGTAGTAATCGTTCAGACATTTTAATACCTGGAGAATCGACTCGAAAAATTGAACTGACGGTACCGAAATTTCTCACAGATAATGCAGATAAAAATGACGTGACAGTTCCGTAAAATTTTCTACAACCACATTTCACTCCGGGATTACGGGAAGGACCCGTAATTTTTATTGAATATTTCTCTCCGTGTACGTAAAAATAAATCGGCGACAAAAAAAAACGTAACCATCTTTTTTTTTTCGAGAATCGTAGAAGAGTCAATTGTCTATCAATATCGGATTGAAAATTGGATATACTTGATTCGAGTATACTTTTTTATCGGGGACGATGAAATGGGGGAAGTTATGTGGAATGGTTGGAGATAGAATAAAGGTTGTTGACCTTTTGGTGGAGGCAGTGGAGGCAGTGGAAGCTGTGGAGGCAGTGGAGTCACCGAGTGGTGCACATATCTGATTCCGGAATCTCATGCCCCAAAATAGGCGGTTTATGCATGTCAGTCACAATGACGGTCCACATGTACGAGATTATGATGGTAGTCGACGAGACGAGTGCAGATTGAGCTTATTGATTTCCAATATACGACTATTCTCCATTTTCTGGGGCTGCCGAAAAAAAAAGAGGATGTGTATCGTGGGAGTATGTGAAATGTGGGTTGGTTATTTCGATGGAGAAGTCACAGGGGAGTGGGTCATGTCCGTAATTATAGGATTTCGTCTCCGAGGAATGATAAAATAATTAGCGAAACACCCCCCTATGACAGTTTAATCACCGCTGCAATTATTTCCACAGAGTTACTTAAATGTTATCGAAAACTTGCAGAAGTCAGGAATCATTCACAAATTTAAAAGTTTATACTGAATCATTATTTCATACTAATTTTATTTTATTCTTATCGTTACTATTTTTAATCCACAATTTATTATATTAATAAATGAAATATTTTTTCTTCCCACAGGAAATATCGGAATTGAGCAGTAATTATCCTTTAAAAAAATAATGTAAAAAATTGAGATGAATAAAATGTGAGGATTAATAATGTCAATTATTATTATATTTATATTTTATCTGTAAAAACAAAAAATAACATAAAAATTTTTCAATGAATAATTCATCATTTAGGTTTTGTTTTAAAAAAGAGAAAGAAAAAAAATTCACTTGGCAAAAGTAAAGATTGTGCTGATGGAATAAAAAATTGGTGCACATTGTATCCATTTTTATAAATTTTTGAGAGTTTCGGTGGTTGTAAGACATTATTGGCGAATTTCCATCATCCAAAAAAATGTACACATAACCATGCAAACTTTCCGGTTGCCCCGTTGTCGGTAGAACTTCATCTTCATCTTTTTCCCCAATCCTAAGAGTTTAAACCACCGTCGCAAGTGCTTGTACGACTCTTCCTGCTGAAGAAAGCTGCTGCAAAAAAAAGTGGAGAAAAAAGAAATGTGGGGAAAAAAAAAATGTGGGAAAGGGTGAAAAGATGGTGAGCACTGACGCGAATACAAAACTTATGGCCATGCTATTGTCGCGACGGGGCTTGACAAAGTTTACTCGAGCGTACAGAAACGCCAAGGAATTACTGGGTTAAGAGTTATGGGGAGTCTCGATGCAATTCGATTTCAGCGGTTCAATGATTAACGATTCCAGGTATAGATTGAACCGTGTAATCGGTTCGACTGGTCACAGAGGATTTACCGACGACTTGATGGTTTAACCGGTGATTTTCAATTCGTTTTAGTCGTTGTTAATACATTACCTCAGCATATTTCATACTTGACCACTACAATCGATTTTTAACGCGATATCGATAAACAATCGATATTCTCACTCTATCATCGCCTATAAATAAATTAAATAATCATAATGGTCTGAAAGAGACTCGGAAGAGAGACTGCAAGCTTCTCAATACGTCCCTCATATTTTTTTTAATCTGTACATTCAGCAGCAATATTGTTATCCTGTTTTTTTTTTAGTTTATTAACAAATAGACCAATAGATCAGGCGTTGCCGTTAATTGTTGGGTATATAATATTAAAGAATCTTCAAAATCATCACCTACATTGAAAATTGAATGTATATATAATATAAGGAATAATAATAATAATAATATTAATAATAATAATAATGCTAATAATAATAAAAAGAGAAAACGGTATTATAACTAGAGTATTTGAATGAAAAATATTTCATACTATTCTAGTATATATATTCTGTACATATATGAATAAGGAAAAATATAATATATAATATATAAGGAAGAATTTTCCTTCTTTATATTCATTCGAGAGATATGAAACATCCGGTGCGCAAATCCCAAACATTTCGCTGATTCATTGACATGCCGGCTAATTGCTCAGAAATTACGAGGTATCAGATTACCTCGATGTCGGAGAAATTCTCCAGCCATTAGGAACACGAGAAAATAAAAGGGGCAAGGCAAGCTAATAAAGTCCAACTACACCGAGCATTTTATCGTCGACAACATAGCGCCACTCTTGAAATAATGTATTCCAAAGATTCCTCCAGAATTCAGTCGTGATTTTGCAGTTTCGATGGAGATCAACAGTACGTGAATGGCGCATTGCCAATTTTCCCTCCACCCCGCCCACCGGAAAAGAGGAAAAATATGTCGGATTGAAGTTGGAATTCGGGGAAAATTTCAAGTGCTTGTGACCGATGAGAAAACCTCCACCTCGGATTAAGATAGTTCAGTTAGTTTTACATCGGAAGGTGCGATAAGTGTGTGTGAAGTTTTTTTTTTATTTCATTTACTCGTTTTTTTTTTGGCTTGAGTTGGAGCGGATGGACGAGGGCCAGAAAGTCAACCTAATCCTGGCCGACCTGTGAGACCCGGGATACTAGGAATCCGATTACGTGGCATCGGAGGCTTCTCAGCTTGTGTATGAAGCACACATTGGTGAAAAGTTTAGATGTGAATCCCTTCTGCGGTTTTTCCACGGCTATGACCCGGAGGATATCTTCGCACATATGTAGTTCACGATTTGGGAAAGAAATCGGTAAAACCCGGGAAAACCACATCAGAACCACAATTTTCACACTGTCCAGAAATCGAACATATATTTCCATTTCCACACTAATAATGCTATCATTTTTTTCACATTGATTAAGAGATTGCTAAATTACTAAATTACATTTTTTACTTTATTTTCACTTCATACTTCATCCTTCAATTGCAATAATAAGACATTGAAAATTCATTCCAATATTTTTTATGAATAAAATCCTCTTCAACATCATCTACTGGAAAATATATCAAATTATTTATTTAACTGGTGCATAAAAAAAATTAATTATCGAAGTTTCAATTGATTAATTAACAGGATATATTGATATGATTATTGATGATCACTTGATCTTTAATTTGTATTCCCTTTTGTATTTTATTTAAAAAAAAATAATCATTTCGTAAAAATCCTCTGGGTTGAAGTAAATGATTTCAGGAAGAGTTTTTTTTCTCAATGTTTGGTGTAAAGATATCTAAAAAATCCCATAATTATCGATTCTAGCTGCTGATCATCTCTCGTTGTCCGATTATCACTGGAGACATCCGGCTGGGAACTCGGTAATTATATTCCAATTACACTTGTTGATTCATGACTGTTGTCGACCAGGTGTGCTTTGCTCTGTTGATCCGGTGAATCGTCCTCCTAATCTAATATGTTTGCTGCTATTTGCTGGCATTCAAGCTAGCAAACACTCGCACAAAGCTCCAACGCGAGAGATTACTCAGTATATTGAACCCGTGAAATTTCGCTGAAAAACTTTCAAGAAATTATTTATTCTTCACCAAACAAATTTACGTAATGAATCTTCAGATTTTTTTTTCTCATTACACCTCTCGCTGTACGGATTATTTATTTTTTTCTGCATTATACTGCCGGTTGTACTCACCGTATCGATTACAGTGGGTGTGGATTATTTTTAGAAACATCGAGTGGCAATAAATTTTTTTCCAATCCAATAAGATTTCATTTCACTTCACAACAGCCGGGGATTTATTCATTCAATCCGCATTAATTCCATGTAAATGGCTGTCTCCACCTAGTTCACTCGAAAAAGTAATTGCAATCAGGCGCGCGGGTATTGGTACTGTTTCACATTTTTTTTTTCTTCATTTTTTCCCATCGCTGATATAACGGGGTATGACACTGGGCATGGGAGAAACAATAAATCGGCTTCCAGCCGAATTCTCACAGGCGCATCTCGAAAAAATTCAATTTTCATTGTTTATTTCAATTTGCTGGAGCTCTCGCGATCGTCATTCAACTTCAGAACCGGTCTGTCTGGATAAATTCATTAGGTCCTTTTAACTTGTTTTTTTTTTTTTTTTATTCGGTAGCTTCGAATTTTTCCAACCCTGGAAAAGCGCTGGGGATTAAATAAAGAATCGAGGGCCTTCGTGCGGGCGTTCGCCTGCAGTGTTTAATTGACTTATTTACTCTGGTCAGTGGACAGTGTACACTGACCTCTGCCCAGTTGAAATATACATACGGAACGATGACGACAAGTTCACTGTGCGTTGTTCATTCACGCCTGGGTCATACTCAATATGCAAAAATCTCCAATTTTATTCAGTCCGTTTCGAATCCATCCACTTCACCGTTCGGCACTCAGCGCTCGTTCCGGCTTCACTCGACATTCTTTCATTCTAAAAAATTGCTATCAGCCAGCTTTTCTGGTGGAATTCGTTCTAGTTCAAATGTTGGGTCAAATTTGTGTTTCTAGCTCGACAATTTTTGAATGAAAAATTCGGCAAATTTGGAATAGAAAAAAAATTTGTTGTATAAGATATTTTTTTTGCTAGCAATCCTCAGAGAAAATCAACAATTTTATTGCAATTTGATGCTGTTAAACAATTTATTCGACTTTTTTTTTTTAATGACAGGAGGCAGTTTTTTAGTGGGAAATCACTTCTTCTCTTTCTTCTTCTCTTAAAAATCCAAAAACATAAACGAAGAATTAATATTCTGCATGATTAAAAATAAACCAAAACAACGGAACTGTTGTGAATAAAAAAAATTGCCGCTCGTCACTCTAAAGTAGATCTCTCGAGATTCTCACCAATTCTACTCGCCTTTTAACCAGGAAAAAAGTAACAGGATTTTTTATCAACTCGGTGGTCGACACTGAAATTTCCGGTTAAATCTGTAGCGAAACGCGAGCGGAAATGGCACGAGGCGCAACAGAAATTTCATTCCCGTTAGTATTTGCCGTCTCAGTGGAATCTCCGAAGTCTCAATATTTCCTTCTTATTTCTTTATCACCCCAGTGTGTGAAAAATGCCAGGGGCACCGAAATATAGAGTCTGTGGAAAACGCAGTTGCGGTTGGAGTCGTTTAGGCGTGATGTGGAAGAATCAGAGCGGTTATATTCGAGGGAGAAAATTCCACTTGCGCGCATGACCCCGAGTATCGCTTATTTTTATTTATCTGTATCAGCCACGGGGAAATTGGATGAAATGCTCAAAGCCTTTTACGGGTATCACTCTTTGATCTCAGCGGCATGGATATCGTATTATTTTAATGGCTCTTTTTTTTTTTTTTCATTTTATAATTGCGCGAAAATCACGTGAAACTCCAAGGATTTAAAAAATCTAAATAACACTCACAGCGATTAAATTCAGATGCTTTCTCACTTTCTCAATTAGTGTACACACATTAGTGTGTGAGAGAAATATTCAAGGAAAATTACGGAACGTTTTGTAATTTTTCCGGAACATTCCGTAAAAATTCTTGAATATATTGAATATATTTTTTCAGCGACAGAGCCCGAAAATTTACTGAAAGTTTTATTCCCTAAAAACGATTCTCACTAGATTACGTGAAATGTTCCGTAATTTTTCTGGAATATTTCTCTTCGTGTACCTATCTGTTAATGAACTACTCCATAAAATAAACTACAACGAAATATTCACTCTGACTTGAGACAGCGAATCGTTTCTCAATCCACAAAAATTAATTGTTTTATCAATATCATTATCTGATTTGATCACCCCAAAATCTCGTTAATAAACAATTAAAAATAAATGGTACCCCTTTTATGCAACAGTAGATCAACATATTGAAATTTATTATGCAAAAGATTTTATTCAATTTTTTTTTATCTCGTGTCAGACGCCGTGGACTCCTGGGTATCTATTTTTTTCGTGTGAAACATCACACACACATTCACACAGAGCAACGAGATGCGATCGTTTGGTATTTACATTACAATGGGCAAAGGTCTCCTGGTGGCGGCAATAAAACGTGTGTCCCAGGCTCCTAAACCACCTTTTACAAGCTCCGAAGCGGAACATTGTGGTGACCACCAAGTAGGGAAGCACTCAGAGTTTTACGGATTGGCTCAGGGGTAGGAGAAAATAGGGGGTGAAGTCCCCTGATTTTGAAACAATAGTAATTGCCCGACTGCGGAAGCAGACTCCCCTGCACTCTCTGCATGAAAAATTCACTAAGTTTCCTCTTTTTTCCTGCGCGTCCCACTTTTTTTTTTTCTTCTTTTCTCATTTCACTCGACTTTTTTTTTTCCGGTCTTTGTTAACTCGGAGGTGTACGGGGCATTGTAGGCAGTTGTAAAAGAGAATTTATGACGCGGATGCGTAACACACGGGATGAGAATGTCACATTATGTGGAACGTAAAAATATACCAGTGTTTTTATTAGGAAAAATAGAGGGGACTGGTTTTTGATGTTTTTAATGGGTTAGGCCTCATGATTCGGAGAGGAAAATATTCCGAAATATTCATATTTGTTACTTGTCAATATCGCTTTATTATTAATTTTTTTTTAATTTATTAATTATTTTAATTAATTATAATAATTATTTTAATGTTTTTTTTTATTGATAATTCATTTATTTTTCCATTCGGCCTCGACTTAATTATTGCGTAAAAATTTTCCTAGCATACGATCATTAAAAAAAATTTATTTATTGTTCATCAATAATCAGCCGATAAGAATGCATCACCGAGAAAAAAAAATCGTTTACAAAATATATTTTCTTCCCACCAGTAAATCTGGCAATCACTGAGTAAATACTCCGATAAGATTTCCGAATGCCAAAAATATTTAATGATTAATAAATATTCTTGGCAAAGTAAATTTTTTTTCTCCGCATAGAGAGCGAGAGATTGTTCTAAGTAGTGATGTACGTCAACAGTCAGCCCACAAATTAATCTCCCCAAGAATAACAAGAGTAGTGGCAGTGAGCTGTCAGAAATTGAGATTATAGGCTTACGAGATGTCCCTCCTGAAATAATTGAGTACGTTGTGGAGATTTACGAGTGTGGAATATGACATGAGCATTATTCCCCAGTGAAATCGACTACGCAGGGATTACGTCGCAGCACTGGCCCAGACAAATGCAATTTGTTTGCTTCATGAGGCTTGATGAAGGCTGTCTCATGCGGCATGACCCTGGTATGTGAAAAAAAAAATTATTGTGACAACATAGAATTTTATTTAAATCGTAAAATTCGAAATTGATCCTCGAGATTGTGGAAATAAAACGAGAAAATGGGGGAGCAAAATAGAGGAGAGAAGATGTGAATGGGAGGTGTCGTATGGAGTTGAAAAAAAATCATATCTGGGATAACCATGGAGAATCTAGATCCTCAAACTATGAAATGGGAAAGGATAATATGGAATAATATGGAATAATATGGAACAAGGTTATGCACGTCGCAGTGGCACTCGTCTCCGACGTCCGAGTGTCCCAGGAACATAATAGTCACGACGAGTATTCCAACGGCTTGAACAATGCGCGGTCGAGCATTTCTAGGTGATGGTGGTACTTCAACAGTCACGAGTACCACCTACGTGGCATTCTTTTCATCGCTCGTACGAGAGGCCATGCCATTCTCATGCACCGAACAGACGTGTTCACAAGTCATCAAGTACTCACCTGTTCGTTGTTTGATGGTACGTTACTTTTTTCTCGACATTCTCACTATTATCCCCATTCTCCATATTTTTCTCTAGATTTTTTTATTTTCTCCATCAGTTCATTATGTCGAGTCGGTACCGTAAAATTCTGGGGTACCGGCGAGCCGACTACTGCCGAAGATTGCCGAGAGTTAAACCACGCGCAAATCCGAGCCGATCTGGACGGACCTGGAACGTATCGAGGGGTAATGCCGAAAAATAATGGATTACTTGAAAATTTCGTGTGATCCTTTGGGAAATATGAGAGTTTACTTCTTATTGTTTTATGAATTTTACCATCATTTTTTGTATTTTTATTGTTTTCAGTTATCGAGTCGGTAACGAGAAACACTGGGGTACCGGCGAGCCGACGATTTCCGAAGATTGCCGAGAGTAAAATCACGCGCTAATCCACGGGGAAAGCGACTGATTGGGACAGTAATGAGTGGAAACGAGGGAAAATAGTGTACCACTTGAAAATTTTCTGTGATCTTCAAAAAAAATAGGAGTGGGAGAGTTAAACCTACTCAGAGGTACTTGAGAATAACCCAACGAGAGGAACCAAAGCCGGAAATGAATGCCAGTGGCATCGCAGTCCACTGTACACCAGAAAAAAGCAAGAGTGGTAGAATCACTCGGCGAATTTTTGCCCCTTTTACAATCCTAAAAATCTTAATTCCACCATTCTCCAGGATCTCCGAGTCAGATAAGTGTTCCAGAAAATTTGGGTCAAACGGAGCTTTTCCCAGAGAGAGCTCTTATACCGTCTGCAATGGGCTATAGTTCCACTGAGGTACAGATTTCCCACGATTGGTATCCGCGGTGGTGTGAGGGATAAAAATCCACAGGGGTTTGAGTATTGCAGTAGTCAGACCATAACTCAGAGCTAAATCTGTCTGAGCTGGGATAACTCATCACTAATAGTTGCATTATGGTAACGAGAGCTCATGGGAGAAATTATGAGGAAATTTTTTAAAGAAATATTTAATGACCTGTTAAAAAACAATCGGGATTAAAATTGCCGGACTGGTGAGAAAGACCGAGCATTGTGACTTAATTCTCAAATATTCATGTCAAGTCCAGTAAAATTTCCTAGTTCTCGCCTCCGTTCGTTTTGGGCATACAGTGGGCCCACGCGAGGAACCAATCATATCTCGCCCGATCAACGACAACTCCCGAAGGCGGACGGCATTGGACGAAGTGTGGCGTCAGTTACTGAAGAAGTTATGAGCAGTCCAGTTAAATTTCCATTTCTTCTGAATCATTAAATGAATATTGGTGAAAATTGATGATCAGAATTTAAATTTTATTTATATAACTCCAGTGATTTTTCATGCATTTCCAATGACTTTCCATCGATCCACTGCAATATCGCGGATTTACTGGTAAGAAACCAGTAATTTCTCGTGGATAATTCTGACCAGGCATGGGGGTTTCACTCCCGAGGATCACCTCCGCCATTGGCAATCACTTTTATCAGCTCCAAAAATAATGCCCAGAAAATAAAGGACAAGATAGAGTCACGGGGATGCCACAATAATGGTTTTCCCTTGATTTTTATTTTAATTTTTTTTTATTTTTCCAAATGGCAACCGACGGGTGGAGCCCAATGGACCCAAGTTTTGTTGTGCTTGAAAACTCGGGCGTGCCATAAACTAGAGAGGTGTTTGGACGGGCTTATCGCGAGAGGATTATCCCCGAGGGGAGGCATATCACCGCGTACCGAGCGTGTAATGGTTAATGTACTCAGTTACTACCCGCCCCTCCTGTATGCACACTCTTCAACCCTCGACCCTCCCCCTCTCCAAAAGCCGTAGTGAGACTACTTAATTGAGTAAACATTTTATACATTTCAAGTGGTTTTGATGATTAAATTCAAATCGCAATTAGGGTACGAGTGAGTGAGTTAATTACCCGCGTCAGTGTCACGGGGATTTATACATATTTTTTTTTTCTCTCTCCCTGTTTCACGACGGGAGCTTGTTACTGAGATCCCTACTCCAGAGGTAAGGAGATCCAGTGGTTAATGGTGACTGGGTTTTAACTAACGGAAAAAATAGGGCGAAACAAATTGGGCAGCTAGACGAGTTGGACGATAAAATCTCAACGGGATCCTTCAATTAACTTTTTTTCGGCTCAGGCTGGGATGGATGTGTTATTTTATTTGATAGATCATTTATTCATTCACTCTCTTTTTTGATTTTGAATTTTTTGATTTTTTTTTATTTTTTCCATTTTAGTTTTTAGATATAAAAAAAATTATTACAATACAATAATTTTATGCAATTTGAAATCATTAAATTACTCAACCTTTCAATCAATAATAATAAAAACAAAAATTTATATTTTTTGAGAGAATTGATTTGTTTTATAGTTTATTTATTTTCAAGCGATCAATTTTATTTGATTCTAATAAATATATTTTGTTATAAAAAACAATCGATTTTGTTTAATTCAAGTGGCTAATGTAATTTGACATGGGAAATTTGGATTATTGTGCAACTTTTGAATTTTTTTTTGGAAATTTCATCGACAGAAAAAATTGATTTGACGGGAATACACGTCGGCATGGCACTCGGATAAATCCATATCCGTAGATAAAAATCCCATCACCCTGTCAGATTATCACGTATCGATTTCCAGAGGAACTGAGAGACTCCCCGAGAAGGCGTTGGATTATGAATTAAGCCTGGTTCGTCATTAAAACTTTGCCGTTGAACCATCTTTTCTCGTGACTTCGGTGGTCTCAAGTCAACGCCCAGAGTATTAGGCCCACCGATTTATCCTCCGGAGTTTCCCGGTGAAACACCGAAACTTCCACCATCGCTGGTTATATATAAGTAAGAATTAAATACACTCAAATGTACTCTTCGCTCAAGACGAGCGACGTACCCCTGCAAATTATTATTGATCTTTTTGGTGCTTGATGGAATTGTTGCGGAGAATTCAAAACCCTAAAGTCTCGAGACATTTTATTTGATTTTGATTTTTTTGATTTTTTTCAGTTTAGATTTTAGATATAAAAAAAATTATTACAATACAATAATTTTAGGCAATTTAAAATCATGAAATTACTCAATCTTTCAATCAATAATAATAATAACAAAAATTTATATTTTTGGGAGAAATGATTTGGTTTTGGTTTTTGTTTGATTTCCACCAGTGGATTGCATAATTTTTTTTTTTTTTTTAATGTAATCGGAATATTTTTTGGGAATTTTTAAAAAATTTCTGGAAGAATTCAAAATTTTTTTTTATGAAACAAAAAAAAATCGGAAAACAAAACAATTATATTTTTGGGAAAGGTTTTGATAAATTCGTCAAATTTTTTTTGAAAATTTGGAAAAAATATTCCGATTACAATTTTTTTAAACATTTTTTCATGACGAAAATAAATAAAAAATTTGGGAAGCTCCGGCGGTCTTGTGGAGTCCCTGTATGTCGTGTCCAGGTCCAGGAAATATTCAGTAAAAATAACGGAACTTTAACTATTCTTGCCGATTACGGAATCGACTCGAAAAATTCCAGTGCCGGTATCATAATTTTTCCTTGATAATTCAGATAAAAATTAAATTCTAAAAATTTCCTACAACCATAAAATTTTCTCTCCGTGTACATTTTAATAAAATTATTTATTTTTCTGCAACAAATCCCATTTTCGACCAAATTATTACCATCCATTTCGCCTCACTAGCTCGGGGAATGAACAGAAATCTGCATTTGAAAGTTGAATATTCCCACAGTTTTCAAATTTTTCACGACTCAAGTATCGGATTTCAGATTTTATCCACCGAAAAAGTTTCTCATCAACAATTCCTGAAACTGAAATGCCCGTTGGGCAAAAAACTAGCGTGAATAAACTCCTCTCCTCTATTGGGAATAGTCACGTACCGGGAGGACAAAGGAAAATTCTCGAGCAACTGCATATACCAGTTTTCAGGGATTACAGAGACCAACCGGGTAATGTTTTGTGCTCGTAATTTAACGAATGCAGTGATGGATAAAAATCGAGTAGAAAATATGCACCGACACGAGTGCCACGAAATTATTCAACTCATTCAATAGATCTTTAAGTCACTGGAATAAAAATAATTCATAACGTGAGATATCGAAAATGATGTGTTCACCGATTAATCAGGTACAGATGTGATATATTCATCTGCGTTGGACGGTTGGAGCTGCGGAAAGGCAATCGCTGTGGATAATTTATTATCTGACTAGTTTGCCAAGGATCGACGAACAAAGACCCACTGGGAATTACGGATAACAGGCAAATCTACCGGGCTATGCACTTTATGTTTGTAGATGCGAAAACGTTGCAACGGGCCACTGGAAAATCAGGGCTGAGAGCGAATTCCGTCATTTTATTGCCACTCGAGGATCTGAAGGCACATCGGCCTTCATGAATCCGAAGTGAGGAATTGCTAGTCGATGCCAAATTGTCGTGCCAAAATCCCGTTGTGTCAATCCATTTAACAATGGAGTCACAGAATTTAATGTGAATATTGCAGTCACGGAAAACATTTATTTTCGTCCAGAAAAAAATTATGAATGGCCTTCGTAAGACCTCAATTAAATCCGCAAGACCTTCGCGTGACCTTTCCACAGGTTTTTTTTTCAAAAATCCTATTATCAGGATATTATTGAATAAATTGTTTATGACATCTCATTTAAAATCACTGAATTCCGAGAAAAAAATCGTTTTATTTTCCATTAATATAACAAATTGAAAAAAAGATGCGCGAAAAAAATCTGTACTTGAATCGATTCCATTTTCTACTCGATCCAAGTACATATTCCATTCCTGAGTATTGATTTGACGTGAATGAGCA